AGGAAGAGGGAAGAAGGCTTGCTGGATTTTGGCCTTGACATCAACCTCTCTAAATGGAATAAGTTCTTACCTCTCACCAAAACATCTTTTAATTTACTTATTTCATAAACACTGTTTAAAAGGTAAGAAACTGTTCGATCTGTCAAATGACACGGAGGTGTGTTCATCATGATATGTTACTTATAATAATTATGTGAGAGACTGTCAGAGCAGGCAGTCACAACAGACCTCTTGCCTTCTGCCCTGACAGCATATACTGTGTGCGGCCATATGTCAATGTTTACACAGTAAACATAGCTCTGTGATTTGTGTGAAATGAAAAAAATAATCAGGTGTGGCAGCAGCTCTGTCTCACTACAGATTAAACTGTGTTGATCCATGTTTCTGACTGGCCTTCGTCTACAGAGAACATCAGCTTTAACACAGATATTAAGAGGTGGAAGTACACAGTGTGATTTTCCTCAGGATCAACACAGCAGGGTGGCTGCTGGTCTTTCTATATAATCACAAAAGTTGCACTGGGGCCTGAAGCACCATCATTCCAGTGACTGGTCAAAGTCTAAACCATTCATATTCTCATTCAGAAGGTTTTTAAAAAAGTGACCTTGGGTTCCTGCGATCAGCAGATAAACAAGTCTGGATTAAAAGTATTTTTCCAGCGAGGGGATTATCAATCCAATTCTTTAGAGTGCATTTCCAGAAACAAGGGAGCTGACAGCGTTTTGGGTGGACATCATCTGGAGATCATCTTCCTGGCGAACAGAAGATTTTACTCATCATCATAATAATCATAATCGTCATCATGTTTTGGCTGGAGTATGAAGGGGAAACAGAGATCACCCCAGATTACTATGAGTGGTAGCTCTCTGTGAACCTTGAGGTAGGGCTGAAATGTGGAGCGATGCCTCTATAAAATGCATTATTATATCATTTCCAAACAAGGACAATTACATGTTCAGGATGACAGAATTATCTTTAATGTCAATTTCTCATGATTCTCTAATTTAATAATTTGAATATTTGCAAATAATTGCAAATTTTCCTTGAATCCTCCTTACGACCTCTGTCCCTTTAATGCCTGTGTTGTCTCATGACTATATGTTGTTAATTGTGTGTGATTTTAATGTGCGATGGTCACAGAACTGAGCCCTTTAAAAGAATAAGATCGCAACTGATGTCATACGCTGATCCCGTCTTTTCTGCAGAGGCAGCACACAACTGTCGAGCCTCACCCGAGGGGCCTGAAAACAAACAGCTGAAGTGCTGAAGCAAGCTCCCGGCACGTTATAAACAATATCAGTGACAGCAGCACATAAACCGGCCCCACCTCGGCAACAATAACGTTGGTTTGTGTTTGTGACAACCAGTCTCCGCCCAGATTTAAATGAATAGATGTAGAGGTATTGATGCACAAACAAAACTTTTGATATTCTTGCAGATTACAAAATAGATTCTCCAAGATAGTGATTGTGCATATATCCATAAGTTCCAAGTTCAAACTCTCCATTTTAAGGTCCAGAGACCAGCAAAACCGAGTTAGCAGTATACACTTCTTTAAAAGAAATGCAAAAAATAAACAATTAATGACACACATCATCTCTTACTATCTCCCCTGCACTTACGCCTTCAGAAGATTGGACTGTTTAGATTAAAGAATGAAAAGGTGGAAAATGTGGAACTACAAATGAGACAATTGCAAAAATAGGGACTCACATCCTTGTGGCAAGATTATAAATGTCTCCTTTTAAATATAGATTTAGAAAAAAAAATCTGTTCTACCCATATCCTTCTTTTTGATGCCCACCAGTGATTACTGAGGGATGAAAAAGAACAACGTTGGTAATAGCTTCAGAAACCCCTCTGATGTGCACCATATACGTATGGATAATATTGCTTTTACACTGGAAAATGTGGAATAATTATATGAAAATATCCAAAAAACAATAGAAACAGTTTTACATTTACATTTTTTGTCTTTTTTTATGAAACCATGTATTTACCCACAAGCTAGTAAACTAGACCCTCTCTAACCCCTTTGGCACAATGAATCATATTCATATCAATTATTATATCATTGAATTACAAGACATTTGAATAGGAATGGTCACTCACACATTCAGAGTAGTAACACAGTTTCTGTAGTCGTAACACATATTGGTACTGTATGTTATAACATAGTTCAAAAACATCTTTTTTTGTCCTTTTTTTCACCTGTAAATAAATGTACTTTTATCAGAAACAAAACAGAACCGTCTTTGCATGCCCTTATTATTTACAGAATCACTTTGTCTGAGTT